ACATGAGAGTGAGAAGAAAAGAAAATTTAAAAATTTGAATATTCAAATTTTCTGTCTCACTCTCACTCGTACGTTGCCATGGTAACCTGCAGGCAGGCAGCCAAAAAGGTGTGAGAGTGCCTTAAGGAAGTAAAAAATTATAGGTTATGTTTATGATAGTTATACCTTGAATAAAAATTCTTTCTCAATTATGTAATATAATCAAAATCAGTTTTTATTGAATATTTTCAATGTAAAAAAGATGTTTTGTAGAGAGTTGTTTCTTTATGTGTATTTTCACTCCAAACTATCATAAACATAACCTATAATTTTTTGCTTCCTTAGATCTCGTTTCTTTTAGCAAGTATCACAAATTCATTTATTTGTAATATAAATTTACCAATGAATAAATAAAGTGGTACTTTCAAAGAAAAGAAGATCTAAAAAAGCAAAAAATTATAGGTTATGTTTATGATCTTTTACAGTAATAATGTTTAATAATTTTGTAAAAATAAAAACTCAATTTTTTGAGTGTTTATTTTTTAATAATATATATATATATATATATATATATTATGTAAATAAATAGTTTTTAAAAAGAAGTTATCGACTCTCTCATTGGAGATTTCATATAAATCATGCTTTAATATTATTCTGGCTTTTCGCAGGAGTCAAGGGAAATTCGTGCAATTTGAAACTTCAAGTAGAAAAGTTGTTCATAAAGGTATAAACTAGTTTTCTAGAAAGTTTTATTTAGAATAAATCAACTGTTAAAAAGTTATGACGGTTTTATTTCCACGCGGTATTCTCGTGTGTGTGTCCGGCAAAACTACATTATCTCCCTTTTACCCCTCTTCCAAAAAAAAAAAAACAACTGAACAGCATGTAAACTGTGCCGAAAAACAATTTATTTTTTATAACTTTTCAGACGAAAAATAGAAAAAAAATTATAATACCTATATTATTTGCATATTCATAATAAACTTTAATGTGAAAATTGTATATGAATATAATCATATTCTATCAGAAGAAAATGGACAGGATAAAATCTATGCTTTTACGTATATGTTTTTTATTTTCATCTATTTTTTAAATAATTTTTATTTATATTTTATATTTATATTTAAATATATATATGATTGAAGGAATCAATAAGATATAACTACCGCACCCTGCTCTAGTGATAATTTAGTGACTTTATAGTAATTTTTAATTTTAACAATAAAATAACTAAATTTTCACTAGAGCAGGGTGCGATAGTTGACGAGAATTATGACAAATGGCGAGTGGAGACAATAGAAACCAACCAATTAGAAGGAGAGTCTGGGTGCAGTCATAGCTCACAATGAGTTTTTTGAGGAGGATCGTCATAGTAACGTATAAGAGTTAGAGAAATAAAAGCATTATTTGTTTCTCTCACTCCTATACGTTACCATGACGACCCTTCTCATTTCTTCAAGCAACTCGACTGTGACTGTACCCTTATGGTCCTGAGATATCACTATGTCTGTATGTCATTTTGATGTCTCGGTATTAATTTGCAACAGTCGCTGAATTCTAACTTACATTAAATGTATTCTATTGCATTGTATGTGTACTATAATTATTTTGATAAATTAATTGGCTTTTACAAGCAAAGTAATGAGATGCAGTAGACAGATCGGTTGCGTGCTTTATAGGTGTGGAGAAGTCGATCATAAGTTTGCAAATTGTAAAAAAAAGCTCTGGCTGCTTCTTATTATAAAAGTTGCAGTCAGACTCAGTCAAACAAATAGTTAGTAATTTTATAAAAGTTTTTAGATTTTAGCCTTTTTCTTAGGTAAAAATTCCTTTTTTCATTATTATTTAATTTTTTTTTTCTTATGAATTTGTAGAAAAATACAAGTGCCCCAATAAAATAAAATTTTTTATTAAATGTTAATGTATATGATTCTTAATAAAACGAAAATTATAATTTTTTTTATTCAAATTGTAAAATAAAATATTAATTTGTAAATTCATTATGACATTCATTAAAATTTTTAACTATAATATTTAAAAATTGATGATGGAAGTTAATAAAATAATGTGTAGAATGCGGTTATATAATATAGTTTTAATACAAAAAGGTAATTAAATATTCACAATTGTAACTGCTATCATGAATGACAATTTCAATTTATGTAAATTCCTTTTACATTTCGAATTTTATTATTAAATATTTTGTATTATTGCATTCAAATAGAATGTTATAAAAATTAATTAAATTTCATTATATTGTCAAATATATTAAAAAATATTTTATTTAATTATTGTTATTAATTATTTATTTAAAAAATATGGAAAAACTAAAAGAAATTGTAACTTCTGATAACTTTGGTTTTTAATTTAGCGACACTGAAAGCTTTATAATTAATATTCGCTTTACATAAATTTTCTGCGGGCAAATAAAACAAGTTTAATGAAGCAAGTATACTTTTGCACTTCCCTCACTGAAGAGAACCTGTGCCACGTTATTAAACTTAGAAATGAATTTTTATTCTCAAGCTATTTTCACGAATTAATTTAAACAATATAAAAATAATTAATTATTTTGAAAATCGTAAATTATTTAAAGATATTAAAATGAAAAATTAAAAAAAAATTAATAGTTTAATATAATTTCTAAATTTAAGTTTTATTCAACGAAACATAAAAATTTTAATAAATTTAGTGCTTACTATTCGTTATAAAAATAACTTTAAAGTATATAAATTTATTTTCCAGATTTATGAAAAATTAACTCTCTCTCTCTCTCTCCCTCTCTCTCTTTTAAAAACGATGAAAAGTAAAGAATAAAGTAAAGGCGATTTAGCATAAATCGTACATTGATATCTTGTGCTTCGTAAGTTGAGTGCATTTCGAATAAGCTGAAACTTTATGCGTAAAGTTATTCAGGAAAGTATAAATAAGTTTTCTGAAAAGTTTTATTTAAAATAAATTGAACGTTTAAAAAGTTGTGCAAGTTTTATTTCCTTCAACACGGTTGGTTGCCTTCCATTCACCGATATGATGCTTTAAGTGAAAATACATCAAATAACTTTTACGAGATTAAAAAATATATGTTATAAACCACGTTATACCTTCAATTTTTCTAAAAATCAAATTTTTCTTTTTGGTGAAAAAAAAAAAATAAATAAAATGTAATTTTTTCCCACTCTTGAATTAATTCTTCAAAAATTAAAAATTCGTTTGCATGAATTAAATATTTTTCTATAACACTAAAAATTTGAATAAATATGCGTTTTTTGGAATATATATTCATGAGTCCAAAAACCTTTTAAAAAATTATAGGGACACGGAAATTTTTTCGAAGAATCATTTTTTATATTAATAATAATATATTTATTTTAATGCAAGTTGATATCTTTGGTTAAGTCACACAAGGGCAAAAAATTTGATTTTGTTTTTTCCCTGATTTTCAGATAGAATTTTGACTTTTTCCCTGATCCTGATGAAAAAAATTTCAATGGAAATAAGAAATAAGACAATTTTTAAAAGTAAAAATTTGAATTAAAATTTTTAGATTCTCTAGCTGCTTTAAAATTATTTTTTTTAAATAATTTTAAAAAAGTTCTTTGAGAATTACCTTTTTTTTTTGAAAAAAAATCAACTAAAATACGTCTAAAATTGAAAAAAAAATACAAAAATATTTCAGAAAAGGTCTTCTTTGAGAAACTGAATCTTGTTCTAGCCATTACATTATTTTAAAAGTTTTTTTATTATTTAAAAAACTATACTCATTTAAAATAATGTTCTGGCTTGGAGAAGATTCAATTTCTCAAAATTTCTCCTTCATGAAAGCTTTTTATAAATTTTTTTTAATGTTGTCAGTGACAAAAAATTAAGTATAAATTTCGTTTCATAATTCTATAAAAAGAAAGTTACAAAATTTATCTCAATTTTTTTTTTTGTTGAAAATTTGATTGAATATATTAATTTAAAAAATTGTTCATATTTATTATATCATTTGAATTTTTTTTTTTATAAAAAAAATACTGAAAATAATTATCGTAGTTATAAAAAATTATTCCTCGAGTAAATTTTTTTTTACTGCGAATAAGTCGAGACAGGATCACCTGAAATCAAAAAAAAAGAAAAGATTCCGCTAATGAATAAAAGATAAAAATTGCTTTTACTTTTCAATTTTCATTTTACTTTAAAAAATTTAATACTCTCTGAATTTTATACATGGTTAAGTACAATAATAATTAATATTATAAAAGTAATAATTACTATGACTATTAATATAATAATAATAATAAAATAGTTAATGAATTAAATAATAATTAATTTCATAATTACAATAGTAATAATTTGACAACAATATAGAAATTCGAAATAATTTTTCTTTTTAACAATTTGGTTTCTAATTTAAAAAGTAAATACAAAGTTGTTCGCTTGGGAATTTTTTTTTTTTATTTTATAATTATAAAACATATATATATACACGCAATATTAATTTCCTTATCAATTTAATTACAAAAAAAAATTCAATTTCGAAAAAAAAGAAGTCACAATACAATAAATTTTGTCCAAATGGAATGTTTAAAAAATGCACATACATAAACACTATAGTAGCTCACTCCATTTAACAACTGACTTTGAAAAATTCATCAGTTCGAAAACAAAAAAAAAAAATAAAATAAAAAAATAAAAAAATAAAACAAAATGCTCGTAAAAATAGGTATAGAACTTGAGAGACATTGCAAATAATATAAATATTTAGTTGAAATCGAGTTCATCCCATATAGATAAATATTTCTTCGCGCACAATTTTAAAGAGACTGCATTCGAATTTTAAATTTGAATTGCATTACGGCCTCAAGTGTATAAACATTCCCTTCATTCTTAAATTTTTATATATAAATATATATATATATAGAAAAAGTTTATTTTATTTCCTTGAAGAAAATAATCACATTTGAATTACATTTTGTAATTATATATATATATATATATATATATATATATATATATATATATATATATATATATATATATATATATTTTTTTTTACATTCATTTTCCGAAAATAATTTTTTTATTCTTGAGAATCTTGAGAAAAAAATTTCACTGTTACTTTCAGAAGAATTTTTTTTTAAATCGCCTTTAATTGTCAGAATAGTAATTTTTTCATTACTAAAAAAAAAACAGTGAAATTGATTTAGAATTATATAATACTGAATTTGCAGTTTCAGAATGTTTCCATCAAAAATTTTCGAAATGAAAATTTTTTTAAACTCATTTTTAGTAACTGCGAACATTTTTTTTTGCTTTTTTAAACCCTTTATTTTGTGGTAGAAATAAAGTACCTTTTGCTACAACGAATTCGAAAAAATTTTTATAAGGATCCAAAAAAAACTGCTTCTTTGCAAACTTTTTTATAAAAAATTTTCGTTGTAGCAAACTTTATTTTTACCCCAAAAATGAAAAAGGGAAAGAAAATTGTTCAAAAATAAAATTGGTTTAGATAAAAGATATTGTAAATTAAGGAAACATTTTTTTTAGAAGACAGGAAAATTTTTTTGAAATCAGAAAAAAGGAATCTAGTAGCCTTGAGATTTTTTTCTTTTTAATTCGTTCTCAATTGATAATCACCATTTTGTGTAATATATCTAACCCATGGTAACGCTTGATATCCACTTTTTTCAATAATTTTCAAATATCTAACTTGTATTCCCGACGTTGTAAAATAAGGAATTTCAAATTTCACCTGAATCGGTGGTTTTCCTTCAGCATCTTCGCCAACAACCGATGGTAATCCAAAATGTGCCCTCATTAAATATTCTTTACCACCTGGAAACGATTTAATCGACCAAGTAATTGCACTCTGTTCAGGTGAATATTTAACGCTACCAATTGTTGTCTTGAATTTCGGTGAATCCGCATCATTTGGCACAGGAATAACAATCTCCACATTATTTGCGGTTGATCGTCTCTTAAATTGTGATCGCGCCTTAATCATATACTCAACACGACTATGAGCATGACGTTCAATAACCGATTCAATCCAAATCAATGGTTTCACATGTGTATTTAAACGATATGACATTAATTCAAATTCACCATCAGGTGGAATAAATGAAATTGTTCTATCATTTTCAAATCGTGATAAACGTACACATTGATGAAATTTCACATCTTCAAGTTCAACTGATTTTGATTTACCTCTACCTGTCGATTCAAAAAGAACTTTATCATTCAATCCCAAACGCAATTCAGGCATACCCGATAAATAAACACGCATTTTAATTGCACCAACAATTTCTGAACTTAAAACATTACCATTTGCATTAGCTAATAGATTCACCGATTCAATGACATCGAGAAATACTTCATTCTTGCGGTACTTGATACCTTCGGAACGCCATGAAACGGCATTTGTCACTGCCATGGGAATGCGAGGTTGAATCTCAAGTTTGTGTCCCTCTTGTGTGATGTACTCCTGAAGAATCTTACTATCGGTTGTCTGTGGATAACCAAAGTCAAGTAACTCATCGAGAAGTTCATAGATAACGACAAAGTTATCCCTAATGCTTTCCTCTTCGAGTTCCTTGAAATATTCACTCATCACTTGTACAACTTTATGAAGAAAAACAAAGATAAGTGATATGTTGGCATTTTTTCGTGTTGTTGAAACTAAATAGAGATTATTATATTTAATGTAAGAATAAGTGCATTCGGATGTTTGTATTATTGGTGTTAAATTTCCTTCTTCCTCGCGTTCCATCACAAGGGGCATAAATTTATCAATTACACCTGTTTCAATGTCACCACGATAATTTCTCGATATTAAGACTTTGCCCTTAACATCGAGAATATAAATCGCCGAGGTCGACATCCCGACCTTTTTTGGAAATCTAAAAATAAATATTACAATTTTTTTTTTTTTTTTGAAATAGTTTTAAGCGAAAAATAGAAACGTTTATAGAGGGTTGTGTTAAAGGGAGAGGTTGAAAAAAAAGAAGTCGAGAAAAAAAAAAATGTTTTTATCTTTCCACCTTCTTTCCATCAAAATTTTGACCTAGAGGGATGAAATTTGATGTGTTTAATAGGCATTTTAAAAAATTTTTATTGGGTAGAATTTTATTGCATAGAATTTTCATTTTATTCTTTCAGATGAATTTTCATTTGTTCGAATTATTATTTCATATAATTTCCATATTAACCGATTTTTCGTACTACAGAATTTTTACTTAACCGAAAAATCATTTAACAGAATTTCTAATTGTTAGAATTTTCAATTTTCCGAAATTGCAAATTTTGTGCGCCCTGCATGCTGCTGCCATCTGACGGCGGCAGAAGGTAATGAACCCCTCATTATATTACTTTTCGTTTTGCAATCGTGTTTTTGTATGGATTCGTATAATCTTTAGGATTTAGGAAATTTATATAAGATAAGGATCTCTAGCTGCTTTTGTAAAAAGTGTCCGTCTTTCGAGAAGAAAGTATATATTAAAATCAATGTTTATCATTTTCATGTTTAGTGCCGTTTTTATAGAGCGATAATTAAAGGTCTCTTCTTGCCAAAAAATTTCAGAGACCATTCGCCACTCTTAAATAAATTTTGTCACTCTTAAAATCGTTCTTTTAACATTATAATTTAATTTTTTAAAATTGGACACAAACACTACAGCAATATAATTATTTATATGTAAAATTGAAAATAAGTAATTATTTTATAATTTATTACAGTATTTATTAGATTAAATAAATTCTGATTCCCCATAAAACACTGTTTTTATATAAAAACTCAATTTTATTTAAATCGGGCACGTAAACTGATTTTAAAAACTATTGAGAAATGTTTGTTATTCATCTAAGAATCATAATCAAAAAAATTTTTTAAGTGCCAATTCATTTTTATTTAAACCAGCTTCTGGCGCACCGTGGGCCGAACAAACAATGGATTTTGGCGCGATTTTGAAAATCAACCAATCACAATTTTATGAATAATTTTTTATTGGTTAATTTTAAAAATCCCTCCGAAATCTTTTTGTCGATTGTTTGTTCGGCCATTTGCAATTTCGGACAAATGAAAATTCTATCAATTAGAAATTCGAATTACAGGCTTCGAAGCGTAATAAAAAACAAAGAAAAGTATGAAAAAGTATCATTTTTTTTTTTAAAGTATCCCTAAAATTGAAAAAAAGTATCAAAAAAAGTGTCATCTTTAAAATGAAGTAAAATTAGTTTTTTAAGTTTAACGTTAAAGTGTAAATATTTTCTTATCTAAAAAAATTAAAAGAAAAATTCTAAGGAATAAAATTAATATCATTTTTCTCCTGATTATTTAAAAAAAAACTATCTATTGTTAAATTTCGATTAACTTTTTTGTTTTTGGCACAACGGTAGGAGTGTATGATTATTACATAAAAATGATTATTTACATAAATTTTTATTTTACGAAATAGAATTTAATGAAGAATTTTTTTTGAAACGAATTTTTACACAACGGAATTTTCAAAGTAACGAATTTTTATTTGACAGAATTTTTATTTTACAAAATTTCTCTTTACCCATTTGTTTCTTGAAAAGAATTCTAATTTAACCTATTTTTAATTTATTAGAATTCTTATTCAGTAGAATTTTAAGTAATTCGAATTTTTAAATCCTAGAATTTGGAATCGGAAACTTATATATAAAATATTTAGTATTTTAAAACAACAATTTTAATTATAAATCTCTAAAAATTCAATTATTTCTAAAAATCTTAACTCGAACTCTTCAAAAATTCAATTATTTCTCAAATTTGGCATTTCAATTATTTAAAACATTTTTCAATTCAAAATACTCTAAAATTCAATTATTATCTGAATTTCGGTTAAATTATAGAATTATTTTAAAAAAAAAACAGTTAGGTAAAGAGAAATTTTGTAAAATAAAAATTCTGTCAAAAAAAAATTTGCTAAATTAAACATTTTATTGAGTAAAATTTAAAATTCTTGAATTCTGTCATTTTTAAAATTATTTTTTAAAAAAAGTAGCATTTAGTGGCTTTTGGCCAGAATTAGTAGAAAAAAAGTAGCTTTGTTGAAAAAAATTATCAAAAAAGTAAAAAAGTGTCACTTCGAAACCTGGAATTATTAAAAAAAATTTTAACCAAAATTCTTCATTAAATTAATAATTTTCAATAATTTTAATATAAAATTCTTTGACAATATAATTATTTCGAAAAAAAAATTTAATTAAAAATTCTCTGTAAATGAATTATTGTTAAAAATTTGAAAACAATCTATATAGTAATTTCAATTTAAAATTTTCCTGAAATTCAATTAATTCTAAAAATCTTAATTGCAGCTTTTACAAAATTTAAATTATTTATAAATTTGTTTCTCTAAAACACTTTGCCGAGTTAATTATTTTTAATAATTTTAAAAACTGGTTATTGAAAATTCAATTAAAAAAAAAAAAATTTTACACTAAAAATGATCTTCAAATTCAAATATTGGCAGAAATTTGTAAAACAAAATTTCAATTCAAATTTAAAAAAAAATTAGTTTAAAATCTCATGAAATTCAATTATTTTTTAAAATCTAAAATGTAAATTTTAAAAATTAAATCACTGTTATAAATTTTACGAAATATTTTGTATTTAATTTCAATAAATTTTTTCGACAATAATTTTTTTTTATTACACTTTAATTTCTTATTTATATTTCAATTTAATTTTCTCTATTTGAATTTTTCTGAAAACATTTGAATTTTAACCGTTTGTAAATTTGTTAATTTTTGTTATTTTGTAATAAAAAATTGTAGAGGGAAAAAATTGAAATTTAATATATTTTTTTAAACAGACTAAACTTATTTTTTAACAATTTATTGAAACAATATTTCTTTTATTGTTGTTTTTTTTAAATAAAAATAGCGATAGATTTTATTTGTTTTTTTTTAAAGTTTATTATGTCCCAAAAAAAACTGCAAATATAAAAATAATTTTTATGCAATCCCGTGTGGAAAAGTGATGTGGGCCCCCAGTGGGGGCCCTTATGGATCGCCCTCATGCCATGAGGGCCGCATATGGATGATCCATAAGGGCCCCTCATGGAAACGACATGCTCATCGATGAGGGCGCCCGCATAGGCGATCCATGAGGGTGCCCCTACGGGCGCCCTTATGGGCCCTCACGTTTGCCCTCATCTTGCCCTCAAGTTTGCCATAATGTTTTTTAATCAATAATATTAATAATAAAAGTTAATTAATAATAAATAAGCTTAAGTTATGAATAAATAACATATTTATTTAATAATTATTCAATTTTAAATTAAATTCTTACTCAAATTGAATTTATTAATTAACGTTCTAATTAATTAACTGTCAGATATAATTAAAAGTAATAATAAATTAATTAATTAAAAAATTAAAAAATATGTAATTTATGCATACTATTAACGGATATTTTCATTTTTCAATTAATTCATACATAGAATTAATGATTAAACGCAAACCTGAGAAATAAATAAATCTAACGCATGGGGGGAATCGAACCTACGACCTACGGACTATGAGTCTAACGCTTTACCAACTACGCTACGCACGCTACTTCAAAACGAATGCTAACTTCTTGATGCTATTTAAACTTCAAAAATACCTAACAAAGAAAAGTGCTTAACATCATTTAGTTAAAGTTAAGATATTAAATTATATTTTCCAATCAAATGCAATTTATAAAATATAATTAATTATATGCTTTATGATTATTATCATGAATCATCTCAGGTGAATTTTCAAAAAAAGTGTAAATATATTTTTATTAAAAACGCGTTTTTCGTTGTTTTGAATCATTGGAAACATTCATTTTTTGTTGACGAAAAAATATTTGAATTTTGGACTTAGAAAATTTTGCTAATCGATCATGAGGGCGATCCATGCGGGCCCCTACGGTGGCCCTCATCTATTTTGCCATAAGTGTGAGTGTTATTTTCAAAAAAGTGTAAATATATTTTTATTAAAAACGCGTTTTTCGTTGTTCTGAATCATTATAAACATTAATTTTTTGGTGATAAAAAAATATTTGATTTTTGGACTTAGAAAATTTTGCTAATTTTGCTACGGTGCCCCTCATGGATTCGCCATATGGATCAGCCCTCATGGGCCCCCGCCGGGGGCCCCGAACTCTTGAGGGCAAGATCGTGGCTTTTTCCACACAGGATGTATTTCTTTATTTATATATAAAAAAAATTATTAATTTTATTTAAAATAAATATTAAATTCTTGATAACTGTTAATTTGATTATTTGATTTTCAGAGCTACTAATTTGAACAAGTGATTATAAATTTTTACGGCATTCCAAATTTAATAACTTGCTTTTACGTGTTTATATTGAATAATTAAATTGATTTTCGGAGGAAGTTTATATTTAATAAAATAAAATATACAATGAAAATATCAACGACCACCTCATTGAACAATTTTTTTTTAATTTGTAAAACACTTTAATTTGTCCAAGTGTAAAATCCATATTTTTTAATTGCAAGATTAAAAAAAAAACATTTAACACCTTTGAAAATAACATTTGGAAAGTTAATATTTTTATATAATAAGATTTTCAACTTCTTTTTATTAAAAAAAAAACCTCCTCATAAATCTCTTAGAAAAGTATTTAATCTTTTTTAAAGCATTTTAGATCTTTTGAAATATAGAAAATTTTTCTTTGAAAATAATTCATTTTGAAGAAAGTAAGTTTTTCTTCCAAAGTACACAGAATTAATTTTGCTTTTTTATTAAATATTTTCAAAACTTTAAAGAAAACAATAATTCAAAGATTAAAAAAATCTGTAATTTAAATTCCAGCAGTGGGATTACTAATAGCTCTAGTCGCTATGTAGCGCTTTTCGTTATTTAGAAATAAAAACTTACATATTTTTAGTGAAATTTGTTCCAAATCATGACCAAAATAAATTACCGTTGACTAGTGACGAAATAAATTATACTTTAATATTGTAAATAACCTATTAATTTAATAAATAACAACTTAAAAAATAAATTATCTAGTTTAATGTTAAAATAATTTATAAAGGAAATTTTTTTAATTTAATTTAATAAATAAAAATTAAGAAAATTAATCTTATTGCAAGAATTAAAAATAATAATTGCATGAGATTTAAAAATTAGGATATTCTTTACCAGCCTGAATTTAAAAATTGATAAATTTTTTAAATTAAATTAATTAATAATTTTTTAATTAAATTGATTTAAATTTTCATTTCTTGAAATACTCTTTAACTCACAAAAAAAGCCGTATACATTTTTTTAGTGAACCCTTGCGTGAGAACAAAAATTCTATTTTCGAGGTTATATCTTCAAAATTTTTTAAATTAAATTTTTTTCCCCATTTTAGACAATGTCTAATAGAAACTTTTAATCCTATGCAAAAAATAATAAATATAAATGCAATAAATATTTAATTATTAATATAAAAAAGAAAAGTAAATATTTTATTATTAATGGATAAAATTAAATTATTTTCTTGATTATTATTATGTTTTATTTAGTTTATAAGTATTAATTATAAAAAATTTTAGGTTTTTATTTAGAAATGAAAGTGTTAATATAATAATATTAATAATTATCGTTGCCTAGAATTGCCATTTTTATTACTTTTGAGATTTGAAGTGTTACACTTGAAAAATTTGTCAGACTTTTAGATATTTCTTTTAATTGCTTCATTTCTTCATCGTGGGAAATCCTTATGAATTTGATACATTCTTGATTCTAAAAAAAATTGTTAAATTATAAAATAAAGCAAATATGAGAAAAAAAAATACACAGAAAAACAATTGTACCAACTTAAATCACTCAAAATGATACCATTTTTTTAATTCACCCGATAACTAAAAAATTTTTTAAAATGAATGTTGCTTTGAATCGCTAAGTAGCAAAATCTTCGTAGCGCTGTCGCTATTTGTAATCCCACTCCTGGACTTTAACAGATTTTTAAGGTCAAATTTCAAAAAAAAAATTCATAAAATTCATCTAATAAATAAACGCTTTTTATTTTTTAAACTTATTTTAAAATTAATTTTTCACAGAATGAAAATTACTTCTAAACCAAATTTTTTTCTTGAAAAATACAAAGAAATTTTTTATTTTATTAAACCGTTTTGTAAAATATACAAAAATTTAATTTTATTCGTATTTTTCAAAGAAACTGAAATTTTTAATTTATTTACATTAAATTAAAAAAATTTTTAATTTATTTAAATTAAATTGAGATCTCATTAAATTAAAAAAATTTTTAATTTATTTAAATTAAATTAAAAAAAAAATTTTAATACATTTTTTGATGAAAAAAAATTTCAAATCCGAGGCTTGTAAAATTTTGGTTCAAATTTTGATTTTTATTAAATAATATTCGAGTTTCAACATAAAATAGGGGAAACACTGTGAAGCCTGTAATAACCCTTAAAACGGGTTTTAAAATTCCAATAATAATCAATAAAGATAAATGAGAAATTTAATTCATGTAATAATTTTATTTTTTAACGATAATTTTTAATCATCATTTTTAATATTGACTAGTTGCAATGTAATATTATTTTAAATATTCAGGTATTATTATTAATTAGTGTTTTTTTTTTTTAATTTTTATATATTTAATTTTGTGTATTTATTAATTTGGTATTTTGTTAAATAAATTAGCCTGAAGAATAAGGTAAACCAAACAATCGAAACGTTGCAACTTGACAAAATAACATAAATTTGTTTTTATTGTTTTTTACCTTCCATTGATTGAATTTTACTTCTTATCAAAATAAACAATAAATTTTGACGCTAAATAATTTTAGAAAAAAATTGTCACTTTTCAACAACGTAAATAACAATAGATTAAATTGTAAAAAAAATTTTAATTTAAAAAATTCAAGAACTATAAAAAAATATTAATTATTTACAGATAAATTAGCAAATTAATTAAAACATTAAAAAATACATTTTATAAATATTTAATTGAAAAAAAACATCTTCAATTAAACATAATTTTTTTTTCATATTTCGATAATCTTCAAAAAATTATTTTAATATTTAAGGATTTTATTTATTTTTTTAAAAAAGGGTTTTAAATCTGAAGAACTTTGGAATTCAAAAAAAAAATTCCTGGCTTTTTTGTAAATATACATATATAAATAAAAAAAAATTTAGGTTAAGTTGTGCATCAATTATATCAAATTCAAGATTTAATTTTTTTTTTAAATTCTATTGTCAATGTAAAAAAAATTTTTTCAAACCAAATTTAATCTAAATTACATAAAAATCAAATTAATTTTTTATAAATTTATCACTTTCTCTTTTTTTCAATATTAGGTTTCAAAGATAAAAACATTAATTGTTGACACGTCATATTTGTAGGTTATGTCCATCTATTAATCACAAAACTTATTATTATCAACAATACATTAAATAATGATTACAGTTTTAGAAATTTTAAGGACTTCTTTTTTTCACTAATATTTATAATCACTTTTATAAACAATTTCCAATAATGGTGTTAAATTAGAAAAAAACAAAATTTTATAAAAAGAACAAAAAAAAAATGTAAACATCCGATACAAAATATTATATACATTATGAACTTATTTGATTTTTGTGAGGTATCGTAATTTCCGAAAGTTGGCAATTAAGAGAAGATAAAATCAAGACTAGATGAATGAAATTATTAATATTTACGAAACACTCACCTAAATTTTATTTTTTAATAAATATTCACTATATATCAGTCTTTACTCGGCATAAGAACTGCCAAAGTGGCCAAGAGTGGAATGTTGACTGTTGAGAAGTTGGGAAATATTGATGAACGTGAATGCGCATGAGTGAGATATCGATTCGTATACAATATTTCCGCGCCATCTTTCAATTTGAAAATAATTTTCAAAAAAAATTTATTTTATTTTTCTTATTGTTAATATTTATTATATTGTTGAAAAAAACATTAATTTAATATAAATTATAGGAATAATAATATTATTTCTATAATAATATTATTATAATTGGTTAATTGTTTTTTATATTTTAATAGATCAGAATATTAATATTTCAATATCGGATGTTTATATTTAATTTCTCAAGCTTAATTTTTATTAAATCAATTGTAAATTTTCTTTCTTTAATTGAAAAAAAATTATAGGTTATGTTTATAATAGTTTATTATTTGATTAAATTTTTTTTCAATTATATAAAATAGAAATCAGTTCGTACTCAATATTTTAGAATAATGAAGACTGAAACATAAATAATTTGTATTAAAAATTGATCTTCTTTGTTTATTTTCACTGTAAACTATAATAAACATAACCTATAATTTTTTGCTTCTTATAGCTCCCAAAAAATTATTTATTTGAAATAAAGAAATCGGTTTTTAAAATTTATTTTTGAATCAAAGATGAAATTTGTTTGAATTAAAAAAAGGTTTTCTTTTACTTTTACAAACAAATTATTTATTTTTTTTTTTTTAATTAAAGAAATTTTTTCTTTGACTAATATTTGTAATCTAAAGAAAAATTTCTTTGAATCAAAGAAATATTTCTTCCGAACTTTCTCAAAATGAAATAAATATATTTTTCATTTAAAAGAAATTTGTGCATTAAAATAAAAATTTATTTCTTTGATTCAAAAAAAATTCGTAAAGTCAAAAAAATATTTTTTTGAGTCAACAAAGAAGAAGTAAAGATATAATTTCTTTAAATCAAAGAAATTTTTTTTCCATTGTCCACACTCGCCATTTGTGGTTGCTTTCCATTTTCCCCACTCGCCAAAGTTCCCACTTGACATTTGTGATAATTCTCGTCAACTACCGCACCCTGCTCTAGTGGAAATTTAGTGACTTTATTTTTAAAATTGAAAGTTATTATAAAGTCACTACATTTCCACTAGAGCAGGGTGCGGTAGTTGACGAGAATTATCACAAATGTCAAGTGGGAACTTTGGCGAGTGGGGAAAATGGAAACCAACCACATATGGCGAGTGTGGACAATGGAAAAAAATTTCTTTGATTTAAAGAAATTATTTCTTTACTTCTTCTTTGTAAAGGAATGTCCTTTGTAACTTTATTGTTAAAATTAAAAGTTACTATAAAGTCACTACATTTCCACTAGAGCAGGGTGCGGTAGTTGATGAGATTTATGACAAGTGGCGAATGGGGATAATGGAAACCAACCGAATACGGGAATAAGAGACTAGAAAATGAGATAGAAAAAGACACAAATATATATCTCTCCTTTTCTAACGATTGGTTTCCATTGTCCCCACTCGCCATTTGTCATAATTCTCGTCAACTACCGCACCCTGCTCTAGTAAAAATGTAGTAATTTCATAGTAACTTTTAATTTTAACAATAAAATCACTGAAGTTTCACTAGAGCAGGGTGCGGTAGTTGAGAATTATTATAGAAGTGTCACGATTTTTCAAAATGCCATCAAACCGGATGGACAGCATTTAAGGCCTGAGCAGAATAGAAACGTAACCGGAATCGTAATCGCAAAAGCACCTAAAAGAATGAGTTAGAGAAGGACAAACAATATGTCTATTCTTCTCTCATTCTTCCGGTCGCGTTTGCGATTACGATTTCGGTTACGTTTCTATTGGGAACGGTGGTCTAGTAACAATCTAGTAATTTTGACCCATTCTCTCCCTCCATTTTGTTTTTTCTACTCTTTCTAACCTATTAATTGAAGAGAGACAAAGAAAGAAAATGGAGGGAGAGAATGGGTCCCCAGCAGATGGCGTATTGCAGTTTAGCCGATCCCAATTCTGCTCAGGCCTTTATGCAATTGGCTGTAATAGAAAATGCAACTGATTTTAATTCCTAATTTCAATCAGCAAAAATTAATTTTAATTCTTTTGTATATGACTATTTTTATTTATACAATATTTTTATGTTTTAAAAAAAAATTACAAATTTAACCAATATATTTCGGTTCATATATATATATATATATATATATATATATATATATATATATATATGAAAATTGAATTTTATCTGATAGAAAGAAAGGTTAGCTCATAGCTCACCTAATTAGAAACTTTTGTTTTACTATATATGTGTATATTTGTAGAACTCCAAAGTGAGTTTGTGACTAAGTAAAATTTAATTCGGAGCTCAATATTCGACAATGCCATTTCTCTCGATGAGACGTGCTAACTTCTAAGCTTCATCTCTCTCTCGCTCACTTTGTTAGAGCGAGCCGTATTATTGGGGCACAATATACTCTGGGACACCAAGAGTATTATCCCTCCCCCTCGGATTGACGTTCTCTATCAGCTAAAGCTCAAGACCCGAAGGATTGTTCCGATCGTTGCTCTTAGACATTGAAGTTGTGCATTATGTGCAGATATTCGTCGTCGATCCGCTTCGTGTCGATATTTCCCTTTGACGTAACTCCCTAACCATGCAAGGTATTTGTTTAATTACGGTCTTCAAATTTACCCGAGGCGTCATCTTTATCCTCTCCCGGCCCCTTCTGTCTCCTCTACCTGATGAGCATATAGCGCATGTTGTCTATAATCCGATATTAGCTTTATACAGATTATTATTATTGAGATTTCAAAATGCCATATAGTTCAGATCCTACTATATATGGCGGATTGGGAACTATGAATGTGCGACAAATTCGTCGCACATTCATAGTGAGTGGAAATAATGTGGAAAATGAATTAAAATTTGATGAACATTATGTTAACGAATTCCGATTCGGTAACTATAATTTCGAATTGGTAATTTATAACAAATTCAAAGTATTTAGTAAGGTAGGAATGGTTGGCATTTTGTTGGGTTCTAAAAATTTTTAATATTGTAACCTTTTTTTTAAAGATCACTTATTACTGCAAAAGATATCGATAAATTAAAGTAACATTCAGTTCTTTTTACAGGTTTGTAACACATATACGAATTCAATGGTGTATTTCCAATTGATGCATTTCTAGGGTTGCGTAGTTCATAAAGAGTTTTTAATTGTGATTGAACAATTTTACGAGTAGGTTTCTTTATGCCTTTTCAGATTTAATTTTACTTCTCCGAATTTTGTTCTTTTTTATATATAGCCAATTGAACTTGGAAATTCCTTAGTTGATACTGTTCCACAGAATTATTAGCTAATTTAATATTCAATTGATGTGTTTACAGATTACTTTCTCGATTTTCTATATAAGTGATCGAAATTGTAATAGAAAAAATCTGTTAGCATACATTATATTACTGTATAAAAGCAAAATTTTCCATTACTATTCATAACCTTATCTTTTCGACTTTCCTTTTTAATTCCAAGCTTTCTCGTTCATCTCGCATTAAAATCTCTTCTTTCCATTATGAACTATCTCTCCTTATGTCGACAAAGGTATATATATATATATATAATCTTAGATTTCGTATTCCATACTAATATCTGCTACGTTGTTGTACATATTATAACGTCGTTATTTGTAATGATACTTCTCGACCCAGAAATTTCTTGATGATCCTTAATTCTTGTTTCAATGGAAGTCATATGTTCCATTTCATTTATAGTACAGATAAGAAATGTGAAACTAATATAATTCTGAAGATTATATAATTAATGAAAGACGCAGGATGTTATTAGTATAACTTGAAACAACAGAATCATACGGTGACAAGATTACCTGACGTAGGTTTCCTATATTCATGTATATATCAATCCAAACACACAGCTAACAAGGTTGCGCACATTGTGTATATATATATATATATATATATATATACATGTTACTTCCATCCGGAAAGGCTATTACTACTAAAGCATCAAACGATAGAATAATAGATCAGTAGTAACAGCCTGACTCTGTCAAGCTTCATTAGAGATATATCGTTTGTGCACGCGGTAACAGGAGGTGTTCGTGGAAATTTCTCTGCTTGTCTGTCTGCAAACGATACATGAAACGAGCAACCCTAAATCACAGATGTAGTCGTAATTCTAAAGAGCTCATCCCATATTCGACAATCGGAAAAATACTAAACAAAAAACTGTCACGAATATTAATCTAAACTATCATCTTTTTTATATAGTTTGTAAGTTAATTAAACTTCCAATTGAAGTGTAAAAATCAGTGAATCTTATTAAATCCTTTAAATTAATTTATTATCTTTAACATTGAACTCGTTTCTCTTTATTTTGATTTGCACTTAACCTGACGCATTGCGAATTATGAATGTGCGATGAATGTGCAACGAGTTCGTTTTACGATCTCCCACAGTTCTTTGCGATAATATCTCGTATTACGATTAGAAAAATTTATTTGTAAATTAACTGGACCTACTTAATCAAATTCTGACAATAAATCTAATATATTATTGATATTTTTTATACATTTAATAATTTGTATTTCTTCTTTAAAATCTCATAGTCATATAATAATTTCATTTTCTAATAGGTGGTATTGTCAATATATTTGTTGCAAAGAAATATTGAAATGTCATCTTATTTTGAATGAAATATCCTATAGGAAAATTAAGATGTATAGATATTGCGCGTAAACTTGGTAAACTAAAACCAGAGCGAAAATAGAAAGTTGATGCGCAAGCGTTGATAACTAATGGAAGCGTAAAGTTGCGGGCCATGGGGTTAATACCTCATGTAACGAGAGTGTGATTTATGAGAGTGACAAACTAATGCCTGGTGCCTTAAAAACTTATTTTCAAACTGAGGCAAATTTTTCTCACACACACACACACATATTAAAATAATTTTTACCATAAATGTTATTCAGAATATAATTTTGCATAAAATTGAAAAGACAAAAAAAAATTTTCCTTTTTTTAG